GCACAAACTGCATGTGAACAAGGGTGGGGCTGTAGGGAGGGAGGGGGGGAGGGGACAGGAGAATGCCAAATGCTATTTTGTACTGTTTACGTATTTATTCAATAAATCTTATTTAATTACCTATTTGTTTTTTTCTGTTCCTGTTTTTATTTAATTAAATTGATATTTGTATTATTAATGTGGAAGTTTTTTTTAATTATTCAAAAAATCTGAATAGTTTATCCAGAAATTATGATTCGATGCCGCATTTGGCGGCTAGGTGGTGTCTACTCTAAAATAGAGATGGCGTGAATATGTATCATTATTAATAGTTTTCAAAATATTGTTCTGCATTCAGTTTTTCTTATAAAATTAATAAAAAAATGTGCATTTTTTTTATTTCCGCCGTTTTCAAAATATTCAAAATTTAGGGATAATTTATCAAGAAAATCTGCAGTAATTCTGTTTTCCAAAAATTCTTGATTTTTTATTACGTTTTAATATTTACAGTGAAACATACTTACCATATAACTGGATTTTGACAAAAAAAATTGTTGCAAACTTGCAAATTTTTTTGTGTATTCTAAAAGAGCATTAGAGCTTTCCAATAATGTATCATTTGTCATATTTGGACATCAAACATGGGATTTATCCTGGGTTTCAAGTAGGGATAGGGTTAAATTATCTCAGAAATCCAGTGCATTTACAGGTCTTTAATCAAAAGTGAAATTCGTTTGAATGTTTTAGTATGCTCTTCTAGTTATTTTTTGCGATTTTTTTGAACTGTTCATGGCGGGTCCCCAAAGTTTGTAACTTTTAGTTGTGATTTTTAAGGATTTCACTTCAAAAACCCTTTTTTTAGGCAAAACTTACACAGTCATAGAGTTTACATATGACTTAGATTTTTTGCTAAAACATGCTTAAGACTGTTTAGGACAACTCCCAAAATTTGGAGACTGCCATTAACAAAAAATATTGCAAACAGAACAGCATCAGCTTAATCAAGTCTTAAAACTTAAGATGCTTTTGTAGTTGCCTGCTTTCTCTCAAGCAGACCGGACCTACAATGTAGTCCCAGAATTACAGCTGGGGAAGCGCTGAGTTTAGTTATGCATCTTGTATCTTACAGGGGAAGCTGGAAGCATAGATTAAAACAAAACTTCATCTTCAGCTCTGTGCACTGAAAGAGGATTTTAACCCCTCGTGGGAATACAAGCCATGCACAACGATACCGTTTTTTACTCAACCAGATGTGAGGACTGTACTGCTATGGAAGATACCTCTCAAGAGACCTTTCAAGGATCACAACTCCACATTTTGCATTTGGGGTGCAGTTATGGGTAAATTCCTTAATTCCCCTAACTGGGAAACAGTATAAAAT